GCTGCAGCCAAGAGTCAGTAATGTAAACAAGGAGAGTGACCAAGCGGGTCAGATATTCAGACGGAGGATGGCCCTGCAGCAGGAGGGTGGTAGGAGAAACAGCTGGGCCGGCTCAGGGGCTGGGGAGGCAGGATTTCACAGCCAGGCCCGAGGTTAGCTAACAGTCTGAGAGTGAGAGCGCCTGGGGCCTCAGGAAAGCCTTGGGTGGGTTTTATTCATCTTGCCCTTAACTTTCTTCCCTGTCAATTATATCCCACACACAACTCAAAAAACCAGCTTTATAAAACATGAGCAGTTTGACAGCTAAGTTGCTTCTTTGAAAAATCCCTTAGTCTTCCACGGCCTTTGCATTCCTGAATCATCCACCTTTGATTTTTAAATTAGAAGATATTAAGAAAGCCGTATGTAATCTCCCACATCTTCGTGGTGTGAAGACAGCAGCCTCCCTCATGCCTGACTTCTGTTTAGTGAGAAATTTTTAGCTTTTCAGAGCACTTTCACTTGTGCAATCAAATCTGACCCTCGCTTAAAAACGGTCAAGATCAGTTAGGAGTGGGTACCAGAGCAGTGCTGAGGAGGAGTCATGAAAAAAGCCCAAGCAGGATTAAGATATTGAGAAAAACTAAATCTTCTTTAAAATCCAAATTAATTCAACCATATTCATCCTCATTTTAAAATTTGGGAACTCCCATTTTCCACATAAAAGAAAAATTAGAGTGTTCAGCAAACAAGATCTGGGTAAGTAATGATTTAATCTTCCTTTTTCTCAATATTTTAAGACCCTTTTATTAACATTCATAAATCCTATTAATTAATCTTGGCTAAGATAAATTATACTTAACTTTAAAACAGAAAGCCCAGGATAGGGAGAGGCTGAGATTATTAGATGTATCTAGAATGTCTACTCAATAAGACTCTCGATTTGGCATTGTGAGTTTATCACTGATGTAAAAAGTATAAATACGTTTATCTTATTGTTATTAATGGTACTAAAGTCAAGTTCCACCTATGCTGTGTGGGAAGGGGAGGGGGGTGGGAGAGGGAGGAACTGCAGTATGTGTAAAAGGGTAACATACCTTTTACTTTATAAGACTATTATTATTCAAATGTTTACAAGCACAGATATTCATGTATTTCTTTTAGATTTTTTTCAAAGGTCACTTCTTCAGAAATAAAAGACGATATTAAAATTTTGGGAGGTTTTACAAAATTATTTTTCTGTTTTCTTTCCTATCAAGCTCCTAACCATTCAAAAAGTCAGTGAATTCAGCCCCCCCCCCAAAAAATCAATAACTTTATATTGTGGTACTACATTGCTATCACAGCAATCTCCAACTTTCCGTCAATTATATAGACAATGTTCATTAACAATTTACCTACCTTCCCAAATTTTAGAGCATCTTTATCCTAAAGTGGCTTACTTTGTCTTTACTTTTTTTTTTAAGTGTACACATTATAAAACAACCCACGTACACCCTAGCCAAAGATCATCCGCCAGATGATGGGAAATGGAATTAAAATGTATTGAGCTTCCATGTGCCAAGTACCATGTCAGATGCATAACTACCATTTCATTATCTTCACTATCCAATGAGGTAGCATCATAGCCTCACTTTACAGGTGAGAAAACTAAAGTTCATGGGGGTTAGGAAAGTTGCCCAAGTTTCTCAATTAAGGGTAGAGCTCCAATTTAAACCTAGGTTCTCTAACCCCATAACCCATGCTCTTTCCACTGGGTCACTTAATTTTATGTGAGAAAACGAATTCTGGGTAGAAGAGTTCCCTTCCATGTGATTTTTGACATTCCTACAAATATTAAGCTTTTATCATCACTCCTAACATCTAAAACTCACACGGCAAATTCCTTACCTCCTCTGACTCTGGCAACAGTTTAAGAAATTCTCGCAATGTCTCTGCTCCATAATGCTTACTCTTTCCTTGATGAATATCTTCTACAATGGACTGAGGAGACCTTGAAAAGACAATTAATCAGATTCCATTTCACATTTGCTCGCGTGTCAAAGAAACACAAGCCCGTGGAAATTAAAACAAATCACCTCCACCCTCCTTTCCATCCCGCCTTCTTCCCAGTCTAACAGGCAGTTGTGTGTCAGTGATCACCACAGACCCACGGCCAGGAAAAGTGGAGATCCTGAAACACCACTCAGAGGCCACTTCACCCAGAACGGCCCCCGCCAACCCCCCACCCCAGGCATCCCAAAAAAGTCAGAGTGGCAACGACCACTGGAGTCTCCTTTTGGGAGAAGAAAAGCATCCCCTTCGGTCTCATGAAACTCCAGGAGAGCCCTCGCCTTTGCACCCTGGATTTCACCACTGTTTGACTCACCAGCCCAACCTCCACTCAAGGGGCAACACTGCAGATGAATTTATAAACTCCCTGACATACCAGGCTTGAATGGCATCCTGGGGTAATTCTCCCTATTTCAAGCCACTAGATTGGGTTTTCATGAGGAAAACAGCATAAAGTGCTGGACTCATCAAAGCCATGTGCCTGAGAAGGATTTGAAGGCCTGAGGAATGATTTTCCCTCATGTTAGAATCTGAATTTCAGCTCACACCCACAGGCTCTGATGCTCAAGTTTCAACTGAGTGCAAAAATCTTACTTCTTAAATTGCTTAAGAAATATCCCAATGTTCATGCTCCGTTTTGCATCCAAGATAGTAATCTGTAAAAAAATAGAGACACATAAGATCATTCAAGTACAAATAATAACAGTTGGAGGAATGAAGAGAATGAAAACCTATTAAAATATAATTCCAATTTATAAGAGAATAATTCCCAGTGTGTAAATCTAGTGATTAATTGATATACCTAATATAGTTTTACATATAGTAAAATGTTGTCATCTCCCCAAACTTCCTACAATATGTTTCCTTTATTGTAATAATTACACATGAAATTATATAATTCTTAATAAATTATATATTTTTTAAATTTAGCAGCTTCCTTTTAAAATAATATAATCCACATTTAAAAGCCTTAACTTGGAAAAAATGTCTTAGTATAGCAAGAATCACATGAGCTTTGAACCAAGAAAGTAAAAAATAACTCTGAAGTGATTTCAGAGTGAGTCCCAACTCTGATTTAGGGATAGAAAAATATATTTAATAAAATTCTTAATTTTTCTCTAAAAGAGAAATTTCTTTTCATTAAAAAAGAATATATATGTTCAACAGCCCTTTTAGGAGGAGGTAAGAAAGTGCCCTACATTTTATTTGCTCATAATTTACAAAGGAAAACTCTTGTGATGTATTTCACCAAGTCGAAGACATATTATTATTTTTTTGGCATTTTAACATCTCTGGAATCATCTTTAATTTAATGAAATATGTTGGCTATTCCAATGTACCATCAAAACCCAGATTTTGGCTGCAATAGGTTTTAGTTGTTCAAAATGAATAATTTGGAAGATTTTTATCAGATTACAAATTAGAACTTTTTTGGTGGGGGATAAAATAACGAAGCCATTTCTTTCTCTGGAAGTAAATGTCCAGAATGTGTGGAGGAAAGAGAACCTTAAAACTGCTGCATTTTTTTCCATTTTTTTTTTTTTTGGTAAAGGGAGACTCGCTAAAATAGGAATGTTGTTATAATGCTCTTCCTTTCCAAATGTATGTGATTCACTGCGAACAAAAGAGAATCAGGTTTCAAATTAAATTCCTGATCTCTGGGCCTGTTTCTAAGTGTATAGGAAACAGCAAGACTAACAAGAATGTTAACCAAAGTTAATGGCACATCCTAGCTATAAGGTTAAATTTTTACAAGAGTATGGTTGCCTTCATTTCAACACTAATCTTCAACAATCACATTATTTACTATCCTAGGGGTTTATTTCATGTTAACACAATCACCTGCCAACCATAAAATAAACTCCCAAGTTAAAAGGGCCAGCTCCTTATTGGAATCCTACCCTGAGGTTGCAGTTCAAGTTCAGGGTGGGGGGGTGGTGGGGGCAAAGGAGGGAAGAAAGAGTGGCGAGAAAAAAAACCCAAAAACCTGTCAAAGTTATCACCCTTTAAGGAGGAAGGCTCATACTAAAAAGATATTATGACAGACAACTATGTGTTTATTATAATTCATTAATTAACAAGTAAGAACATGTATATTGATTGATATCCAGAATACTTTCTCTGTACTCACTTCCATCCAGAATGGGGAAATACCTTTTTTTTATTTCTCTCATTAAATTACCACCTCCTGCTATATTTAACCCATGATGGTGGCACCCTCCTGGGTCCCCAATGCCCCAAACCCACCCTCATCATCTTCACCCTCAGCCCTCTGGGACTCTGCACACTTGGCTGAGCTCCCACAGCTATTGTTGCTGAAAAAGTGATGGAGACATTAGTCTTATTCCTCCTATTTACCATATAAGGAAACAGAGCCTCGGAGATGTCATTTTTATAACTTCCCCAAAGCAATACTAGAACTGAAACGTAAGCCTGGGTGTATCGGCTTCCTTTTCACTCTGGTTCTGGTGAGTTTTAATATCACTGAGATACAGGAGTAAAGAGAATTGGCAAATATTCCCCCTCCAGCCTGGTATTCACACTGGAATATTTCTCCAGAAATGGGGACAGATCTGAAGAAAGCCATCCACGGGGTTGGCCAAGTCCCCTGGTGACCCCAGTTGTATGTGTGGGGTGATGGGTAGAAATGTCACTAGCTAAGACAGCCTGCAGGCACAAAGAGGCTTCCTTATGCCCAATGCAGGGGCAGCCAGCCTGGAACAGCAGTTGTCTCTACAGTCTGAAGCAAGGCTTCAGAAACTGGCCACTGAGAGAATTCAGCAATATTCCTAAGGAAAAACCTGGGTTGGTCATGACTGACTGCACCCACCAGGGAAAACAGCCCAGTGCCTCATCAAAAAAAACAGGAAAAACTAGACAACTGATAACGCTCCAGGGCCTGCTCCCCGCCCCAGGGGCGGTATCTTCAGATTTGCACGAGCAGTGTCTTTCCCACTGGTTATCTCACTGGATCCTTCCAAAGCAGTGTTAGAAAAGTGTTTGTTAAAGTCCTTCAATGAGGTTATCACTATCCATGTAAATTAGCTTATCTTACTTCCTAAATGCTTGCCAGCTCAAAAAGCTGGGCAATTCAGAAATGAATGTGTGTGGGACTGCTGGGGTGTTGGAATCATTCAGAGCCATGGACTCTACCTGTGGGCCCCCCTGTGAGACTCGCAGGCTCCACAGGTCAGACCAACTGCTCCAGGGAAGAATCGATGGGTCCCTCCCTCTCCCCACCAGTTCCAGTCAACTGTATCTACGCCACAGCACATGGAGGCAGGACTCCGCTCAAGTCACCAGTAGGTACAGCCTGCGAGCTTCCTTAAAGGCCAACCAAGGAGTTACACCATCCCTGGCCAACAGGTAATGTGCTCAGCTCATCCCAGCCGGAGGATGTCCCACCACAATGTGAGGGGACTTGCGGTAACAGCAGTCTCCCCACAGTTGGCTAGGGTGGCTGGGGTTGTCCTAAGACCCTCAGAGACACTGAAACCAGGGTACGTACTGGGTGCTCCACAATGATGTGCATGGCTACACCACGGCCCCTGTTAACACCTCTGCGTAAGCTCTCCTAGGTTCTTCTACTACAGCGCATGTACTTTCACCTAGTGTCACATCACTACAAAATCTGCCTCCCATATTCTCAAAAGGAAGAGGAAACGTTTGTTTTCTAGTGGCAGTGAAATACACATATTATTTACCATCTTAACCACTTTCAAGTGTACAGTTCAGTGGCATGCAGTACATTCACACTGTTGTGCAACCATCATCACCACCCATCCATCCATAGAAGTCTTCAACTGGCAGAACTGAAACTCTGGACCCATTAAACCCTAACTCCCCATATTCCCCTCCCCCTCTCCTAGCAACCACCCTTCCACTTTCTGTCCCTAGGAGTTTGACCATTCTGGGTACCAAATGTAAATGGAATCATATCCTATTTGTCCCTTTGTGACTGGCTTATTTCACTTAATATAATGTCCTCAGGTGGAAAAAGAAAATTTTAAATCATTTTTGGTTATTTCAATCCTATGTCAAATTCTGAAAAGCAAAATTTTAAAAATCTTCCTGAATGCTCTATACGTCCTTAGCTTTGGGTTTTAATGGTTTTTCATTTTTGGTTGGCTGTCACGTGGGAAATGTTCCTCCCCCAATGCTGCGGGGGAGAGAAATGAAAACCCAGTTGGAACTTTGCTTTTAGTCCCCTTTCAATATAGTTCTGGACTGAGCATGTCCCAGAATTCTACAATATACTGGGGTCGGAACACAAGTTGAGAAAGAATGACTGAAACCTGAATTACAGTGTGGGAGAACAAAACATGACTTCTCATGAATTTGAAAAACCAATCCTCCATCTTATTTTCTCTCTCTCCATTCCTCTTTCCCCAGTTCGAGATTTTAGTTAGGTTTCCTCATCAAACTTATGAACACATCCATCATCTCACATATTTATCTTTTTCTCTTTTTTTGCTGAGAACATTTGGCAAATTTCAGTTTCACAATACAGTGTTCTCAACAGTAGTCACCATGTTTTACGGGAGCTCCTCAGACCTTATTCATCTCACAGTGGTTTCTTTGTGACTCCCAGTTTTGACCTATCATGTGGACTGACACCTTGTAAGGTGGTCCCTTTGCTCCCTCGGTTCAGATCTGTCAGCTCAGTTACTTTAGTTTCTTTGAAGGACACCAAATGGGTAGGTAAGATTGTTCCTTTCCACAAGAGTTTCCTATTCTAGTGAGAGACAAGTACAGACCCAACAACCAGTGTGGGGCTCTGAGGAGGCTGAGGTTCAGTTGAACGGGGAACTTCTCAGGGGTAAGATCAAGAAGCTTGGTGGGTAGAGTTTGAGCTGAATCTTTTTATTATTATCACCAGTTATATAAATCTGTTATTTCTAATTACTTTATTATAGCTTAATTATTATTGTGACATCTGTAGCCTCCTCAAGCTAATTTTTTAGGTAACAAAGATATAAGGATAGTAGTAATAGGTCATAACCTCTTCCCCCTTATTAAATGTTCCACTTCACTTGTTAAGGGTTATTCTTCCTTAATTCAGCAATTCCTAGCCCCAGGTCTTCCCTATCTTCCAGAAACTTCTTCCTTTGGAGTATAATGGAACTTATTTGTAAGGCTTTCTAAGCCCTTGAAAGTATGAGCCAACCACATAGTGGCAGGCCATTGCTGTAGGAGGTGCCTATTATTTCCAGGGGACATAACCTGATCCTCGGCACGTTTGAGCCTCCAGAGTTACGGGCTGTGTGGTCACGGCAGGGATGCCATGTTTCCAGGCTCGGGTGGGTCCATCTGCTCAACATGCTGTGGAGGGAGTTCTCCAGTCCACACGGACAGGCAGTGAGGACTACCACTGTCAACCCTGGGCTTCCCCTACTACAGAGTGAACTGGAACTTTTAACACTGGTCCTTGTTAGACTACCACTCTGCTGAGCTGTAGCTGCTTTAGAGGGAATGAGGGAAGAAAATCACACGTCCTGTATTCTTTACTGGGACAAAAAAATAAAGTACATATGATACATCTAGCCATGTTGGAGGCAGCATGGAAAATCGAAAATAATTCTGGATAACCCTGTTCTGTGACAATGTTATGTAATATGCACTTATCTATCCATCTACTAAACTACTTACCCTACCTGAGTACTGAAGAACTAAAGAGTTAGGCTGTTTGCTTACACAGTTATGGTGATTTAACTTTTCTTTCTAGTATGCTGTCTCTCAGATTAGGACCTATACGTGCTAAAAGTAAAGCTATTTGCAAACCCATGTTCATAACAGCATTATTCACAATAGCCACCCAAGTGTCCATGGACAGATAACTGGGTAAACAAATGTGGTGTATGCCTACAACGGAATATTATCCAGCCTTACCATGCTGACACGCTACCACATGGAGGGACTTCGAGGACATTATGCAAAGTGAAATGATCCAGTCACAAAAAGTCAAATACTGTGCAATCACACTTATATAAAGTACCCACAGCAGTCAAATTCATAGAGAAAGTAGAAGGGTGGTTGCCAGGAACTGGGAGTTCCAGTTTGCAAGATGAGATTTCTGTGGATGGATGGTGAGGGTGGTTACACAACAGCGTGATTGTGCCAGTGCCACTGCACTGTACACCTGCAAATGGTTAAGATGGTCGATGGATATTTTACCACAATTAAAAAGATGATTATTCACAGACAGACAACAGTATGGTGATTACCAGAGGGAAAGGGGGTGGCGGAGGTAGGAGAGGGTAAAGGGAGGATAAATGGTGATGGAAGGAGACGTGACTTGGGGTAGTGGACACACAATACAATATACAGATGGAGTATTATAGAATTGTACACCTGAAACCTGTATCATTTTATTAACCAATAAATTCAATAAAGGATAAATAAACATAACAACTAGCTAAATAATTATTCACTTTTAGGCGTTGGTTTTTTTTTTAAGTTAAAGGAAAAAAAGTAAAGATGTTCCTCAGATACAGGGGTGAAGGTGGGTGAGGAGATAGACACTTCTCCCCCACACCCCCGAACTTTAGACCTGGCCTAGAAACACCTCCGCTTCTGCCGCAGGTGGGAAAAGTCACCACACTCCCTGCCACTCTCTTCCCGCTCTGAGAGGTCCTGAACCTCTCTCCGATTCTCAAAGCAGCAAGTGCCTCATAGCATTTGGCAAAATAAATGTCCTCAATTTACAAGGGCCAGCCGCCTCCCCAGAAACATGGTGAGCCGAACCCCCTTCTGTCTCCACAGGTGCTTTCTGGAGACATCACCTTTTCTCCACATGTGCCCACCCTCTCTTTCCTTTAAAATTCTTGAAATTCAGTAAGTGGAGCTCAGAAACAGCGGTGAGAAATGACCTGCTGTGCATTAAGAAGCCTCTGCTGGCAGCGGGGGCAAAGGCCAGGGGACTTAGGAAATGACTTCTTGCTTCTTCCAGGATTGAAAGGGTCTGCTACGAAGCGCAAGGACTTTGCATAAGGCAAAGAGCAGGGGAAACCTGTGCTTCGCACTCAGGGTTTTCCTGAAGACTTCCTCTCAAATGCATGTCACAGCTTACAGTAAATGCAAATCCCAGCGTTCTCCACACTTGATAATAAACAGACGACTCTTGGCTATTTCAACAGGGCACCATGCCACCAGCCTCAAGGGCCCCCAAGGGAATTCATGGACAGAAGTTAAGAGCCAGAGAGAAAAGAGGTCAATATTGTCGGCTAGAGAATTCAATAATGCAGGGAGCTGCTACCTCATTCCAGAGCCCTGCCTACTCTTATCTCACACCTCCATCTCTGACCTATTTTCCCAGCTCCCTTACAGCAGATTAAAAAATGATGCATTTCTGTTACTTTTTTTGTGTTTTTTTGTTTGTTTGTTTTTGGTGGGCAGCATTCTTTTCTTTTAATCCCTGGTTTCCTAATTATTTCCTCTTGCAAGTAGAGGCTTTTCCATGTTTACTCGAGTTTCTACAGAGAGTACGCACACGCACGATGTTGGACTCAGTTTCTATAATACAGAGTGGCCTGTGTCCTGGGAGGCCGTGCTTCCAGTAAACGCCTTGTAACTTGCTAGCTTTATTTTCTTCTCAAAGTATCACACCACGTGTTCCCTGGGAATACGCTTCCTAGAAAGTCTATCTGAAAACAGCTTTACGCCTAGGCTCTCCGGAAATCTCTGGTCCACCATGGCCATAATTCAGGGCCTTCACTAAACACGGTGCAAGGAAAACTGGAGGAAACACTAAGGATAAAACCCTAAGGATGTGCATTACTTAATGATGCTATTTAACAAAAGGCAGGCTGTCTCAGAAAGCTCCAGCTGATCGCAGATGCCTGAGCTCAGGAACTTAGGGTTTGTGTTCGTCTCACTGGAGACGAGTAATCCTGGACTCCTCGCAGAAGTGCTCCACCAGGAGAAACCGCAGATGTGCAGAGACAGGGCAGCGCTGAGAAGCCAAGGACGATGGCCCCACAGAGCATGTTCTCTGCATGAGGTCATAATCCACCGAGATGCCTGGGAGGGTCCGGCATGCACGCTCCTTCCACTTTGTTACTACTCAGCTCAAGTTCATCATGTAAGGTCCTTTCTGTCATTCCCAGAGCACAACATTCCCTTGCCTTATGTTCTTTTCTTTTTTAAAAAAAATAATATATTTTTGTTGATTTCAGAGAGGATGAGAGAAGGAGATAGAAACATCAATGATGAGAGAGAATCATTGATTGGCTG